TGAATAACCATGGGTCCCAGGATGTTTATACTTTGCAAGTTGCATCCTGAGATGAAAGCCTATACAATGTGTTCAACATAATGACTTTGTTCGACTTTCAATCACAGGGGTGAAATGTTTAAAAAAAAAATAACAGGGTCTTTTGAACGAATTTTAATCATAAATACTGATATTTTGCCTGTAGCTTTATTTTAGATCACTTTTAAGGTTACAAGTGTGAGTTTTATACCAGGTGAGCGATGCAGGCCCATTGGGCCTCTTGTATTACTCGGTAGTAGCTTTTAAAGTCTCTGGTTTTAAGTTATTTGTAAGGCTATTATTCTAAATAGAAAACACAACTGTCTGATGGTTGTCTCCTGGTAAGATTATTGGAAGCATTGGATAGTCAAATCAGCTCACGCCAACACCCGTTCAAAGTTAACTATTATCCACTGATAAATCGATACCCCTGAATATGATTTTCATCCCTAATCCTACTCCTATAACATAAGTAGCTCGCCGTGTAAGCCTCTAAACACTTATCCTTACGCAGTCGCTTCCCCTTAGTCATATAATATTAACACTTGATTACAAAAACTGTTCGTAAACCACCTAAATGTAGGGCAATTATATGTATTCGTTCGTGTTCTTAGGGTTAAACGAAGCTATAGTCATTCAAATTTCAACCCCAAGAGAAATGACATTCAAAGACCGCAATTAAAACAAAGGAATCCATTGTAATATAAATATATTGAACGTCTACATAAGTTATCAAAATGGTCTAAAGCCTGCAAGTTAACGTGGTCAATGATAAGGCATTAAGGCTGATGTCTTCATACAACTAAATCGCCAGATGTAAATTACATGACGTCAACTCTTCTGCGACCCAACTAAATACTACGCAATGACATATATATATTATCTTAGTTAATTCACAAACCTTATTTTCACCTTTACTAGCTGTGGAGAGGCAAACCGGCCTCAAAACATGATGATTGTGTCGATGGGAAATTTAGAGTGACTATACCATCGTCCAGGGGGCTCGTTGAACCTTATGAACCTTGTACATGTGTATTCCCTTTTATCCCATGAAAAAATAATTTTCCGAACAGAAGACCAATAATACATGCTCGATATCCCAGGGTAGCCCGAGTTTCCCCTGGCCCTGACACCAGGCTTAGACATTTTGACAGAGGCATCTATCTGCCAAAATGTCTAAGCCTGGTGTCAGGGCCGGAGGAAACTCGGGCTAATTCGAGGGGTGCAGATAGCGAAAATGAGCGTAACTCCTGAATTATCAAGGATGCCAATAATGTTACAGGATCAATGGAAATCGGCCAGTGCAGTAAGTTGACTATCCGTATTTCTCCTGCGGGTAACGATCCAGATACGTATAGACTGACACATTGCAATCATCGTTTTGTTTTTGTCAAATCTTGCAGAAAATCGAGTCTAAAAATGTTTGAAATATGTTACAAAACATCC